ATATAACAAGACATTATTTTTTAACTGGTTGTAGCCTTTAAGACTTACCTGCAATCTACATTATCATATGTTTTCGTTTTTTATTCAAATATTATAATTCGTAGAACGTAATAGAAAAGCAGGAAGGTCGTATGAGTACAATGCATTTAAGGCAAGATTAACATAATATCATATTCCAATGTTCAACTTACAATAAAAAGGAACTGACTACTGGGTAAGCGTTAAGGTAATATTTAATTAACCTACCTAGTCCATAATCATACTATCGATACAAATATTGTAAATATAAATCGGAAGGGATTAATACAGTTAAAATTAAAAATCTTAGGAACTATATACCTTGCTCCACAGGTAATTGTTATCTGTAATGGTTATTGGAGGTGTTAAATTGAAAGCTTTCGAGCAGTCGAAATCAAAGATAAATTATCTTATACGAAAAATGATTCGGGGTCCAGAGAGGAGACTGTCAGTCAGCCAATACATATATTGGCTATTAGTTTTTCTAATTACTTAGGATATTTTATTATATTAATATTTTTCAAAAACATCGCATTTATTAGATTATAGGTAGGTACATATACCTATATCGTATGCGGTATGCCGTAGGTAGGTGTATTATAGGTAGGCCGAATTAGGTACATCGTATATCGTATGACGTAGGTATACAATAAATTAATATTATATTATGATAATATGTTAGGTAATTTGAGCATTAAAAGTTAATAATTAAATATTATCACAGATTTTTGAAGATTTTTTCCCCCACTCTTTGTTGTTTTCTTGCCAAGCCAAGAAATTTCGTCGTTGCGGGTTTGGTGCTAAATTATACCTAATTAAAAAGAGGGAAAATAGGTAGGTACAACCGTTCTGATTTAGATGTCGTGTTAGTTAATGGATAGTGTTAAATTTGAATTCAGTGATATAATTATTTCATTATATACGTAAATACGTTATACGTGTACTAAAAACGATTTTGAACAGTCAGCGGAGATGGTCTGTCAGTCAGGCCTATAAGCTATATCTATTTTTATAATAATTTTAAATTACAACAAAATAACTAAAATCATGTCAATATATTTTTTAGATTTTTCTATTGCAATATATGAATTACTTAAAATACTTGTTTTAAATTGTCTATCCTTAGCTAAACAAACTGACCATTTTATACATTTTATTATTTTATACAGGTAATTTGTAAATTTTTGAGATTTTGTAAAATTTTGAACTTACAATGGTTATAAAAAAGCTGTGCCTATGTACCTATATATTTTATTATTTTTTAACTTTTATTAGTTTTAAAAATGTATTACAACATTCCCCTTAAGTTTTCTACATTTATTAAAAAAAAACTTTACTGGAAAATCAAATTAATTTTTTACGAGCGTTTGAACTTTGAAGTTCACCATTTAATTAATAAATTATCTCATATAACGATTTTCTTATTTTTTTGTTATTCAAAAACTAATAACCATAGGTACTTGGAATTTTCATAAAATGTTTATTTTATCAATTTCTATACATGATGACATTTAAAAAAAGGTGGGCAAGTGGGTGTCGCTCTGCTGTACAGTAGGTTACAAGTGGGTCACTGTATAATGGATGGTATTAAATTTGAATTCAATGATATAATATCATTGTATAAGAAAACGATTCTGAGCGGTGACGGTATGTCAGTCTATGTATAAGACATATTATATACATATCTATGGTATTAAACAAAAAATTGACCTATAATAGGTACCTATAATAAATTCCAAACTAATCATATCACAATATCCATTAGATACTTATAACGCGCTATACATCAACAAAAACCGTGATACTATCATAGATATATAATAGTACACTTTAGAAGTTTCAAGTACCCACGAATAATATTATTCAATCACAACAAAATAACTAAAATCGTAATTCTTGGTTTAAATATGAAATTTTGTCTAAATTTGAAATTAAAATGTTTGTAAAAAATAAGTGTGTTTATATATTTTTTAGATTTTTTGGTTACAGTATGAATTATTTAAGAGAATCTTTGTTTTAAATTTTCAACTCTTAGTTATAAAAACTGAACATTTTATAATTTTTTAATTCCAACGATTGATAATTTTCGATATTTTGATAAATTTTGTCAAAATTCCAACTTTAAATGCTTATAAAAAAAAATCGTGCCTATGTATTTTTAATATTTTTCAACTGATATTGTAACAATATATCAGGAGCCTTGTATTAAATTTTTACACTTTTTGGCCCAACAGATAAAACTTTATTGATATTTATAGAAAAAAAAACTAAAAAAAATTGAAATCTGTAAATGTCCATAAACAGCTCAAAAAGAGTCAAAATATTTTCAAAATTGTATGGTGTATAGAAAATGCTAATTTAAACATTCAGTGAAATTTTCATGTATCTACAGTTGTTCGTTTTTGAATTGCAACAAAATAAAGAAATCGCTACATGAGTAATCGAGTGAATATCCAATGTTGTAAAAATTTGAATTTCAAACGTTCATAAAAATTTAACTTGACTGTCCGGTAGAGATTTTTTTATTGATAAAGGTAGACAAACTTATGAGTAATCTTGTATTACATTTTCAAATCTTAGATTTAAAAAGAAAAATTTTTGCGAATTCTTTACTCAAAATAATTTGCTAATTTTCGTGATTTTTCCATATTTTGTCAATTTTTGAACTTTAAATGCTTATAAAAAAAAATTGTGACTAAGGATTTTTAATATTTTTCATCTGCCTTTGAAACAACATATTAGGAGCCTTCTATTAAATTTTCAAGCTTTCGCAACCCACAAATAAAATTTTATTGATATTTTTAGAAAAAAACTAAAAAAAAATGGAAAATGAAAATGTGCCTAAACAGTTCAAAATAAATCAAAATATTTTGAAAATGTTATCGTGTATAGAAAATGCGATTATAAACAACCAGTGAAAATTTCATGTATATACGTTCATTTGTTTTAGAGTTACACCAATAACCAAAATCGATTTTTTGGAAAACCAATTTTGCGTAAAAATTCCCGTTTTTCCTTAATTTTTATGTTGTTTTTCCCGGCGCTTGTGAATACTACTGAGAAATTTAAATTTTGACCTCCCTAATGTACCAACGATATTCACTTTCCAATCTAACAAGATATTGAAGTCGAAAATCGAAGCATTATTTCGACTACTTATCGTGTACACAGACACAAAAATAAATAAACACACATCATTGTAAAACCAATACATTCATCGCTCCGCTCAGAATCTAAAATATTTTGACTAGTTTTGAATTATTTTGTTATAATTTATATGCAAATTTTAGTTAGTATACCTATTATTATATTTTATAAAAAACAATGGTACATACAAGGCTCTTAAGTCTGAATAGATTGTAACAATGACATTTGAAAAATATTAAAAATTACAGTGACTCACTGTACCTACACCCAATTGACATACACTTACCCTCTTTTTTTTTTACTTCGTTGGTTTAGTCAAACTAATAATAATACGAAAGTCACCGGAGGCTATAAATTAATAATTATAATAACTACGTGGTGTTGGTGCCGGTTTTTCTAATTTTCCGTAATTCCATAAAATTTAAAAATCATATTTTATAATATTTTAGTTGCTAGGTACCTACCTTAACTATAATACTTTTTCACTGATCCACTGTCCAATAGTCGGTACCTATTTAGGGGGAGGTTGATACGGTGTATTATATCAATAAAAATAAAAAGTCATGACTTCACTATTAACAGGAACAATCCCCATAATCACTATTTACAAATAGGCATGACCACAGAACCCTACATGATGTAGGTACCTATAAAAAACAAATACAGGTATGGGTTATCAGTATTTTTGACATAATATGAGTCATCAATATATATATATACCTAGATGTATAAATGTAATTCACAGTGGTCGTGTCAGAGCCAAGGGGTTGTTTTGTGTTGTTTTTGTTTTTAACCTAACCTAACCTAACCTAACCTAACCTATGTGCTTTAGATTTCTTCAAAATATATGTATTGCTCTTAATAGGTGTATAATGTGTTATTAAATGGTTCTTCTACATATGCAACTAACATATTAAATATCCGGTCCCATTAAAATTGTAAGTACATTATTTAAAATCAGTGGTAGACCGATTTAGGCGACAGGCGTGTATCCATAAATTTTTTTAGAACTACATCAATGCCTACTTATTGAAGATTTTGACTTTAAAAGAAATAACTAGTAATTTATAATTTTATTGCCTACTTGTTATCGGTCAATGTTTGCTAAATAATTTCAATTTATACATTATACTTTATAGATATCTTCTTTCTAGCATCAGCAATGAAACAATCTTTGAACATCAAAGTTATTCTTTCTTAGCCTTTAAAGAACATTTTTTTTTTTTGAATGTACATATTTCACAAAAGTTAGGTTGAAGGTACAGTGATATTGTCCAAAAACTGGAAATTCCGTTCAAGGTTAGGTAGTCATTTACAATCAAATCATTATTAACATCTAAAACACATCTCACATGAGCTTTTATAAACTTAAGATACCCTTCTGGCACAAAAGATTTTGGGATAGCTGAATGACTTGATTAGTAACCGCCAACAGTTGTTTCATTTTATTGAATTTGGACTGTCGTAAATATTCATTATGAAGTAACCGAAGACAAGGTCTCACAAGATGCATAGCTTCACAAATACAATTAAAAATTTTGAAAATTTAGAACTGTTGAATGGAAATTAGTAAAGTGAATTCAATTTTAAAACTGGGAATAAAAAAATTGAGGAGGAACAAGTATGATTTTTAACCAAAATAGCTAAATATAAATTGTGATCAAAACTTTTTGACTAATTTGTAATTTTTTTTTTCAGAATTACTAATAAATTACAAAATAAGTAGAGAAGAGTAGATAACACAAAAACATATAATAATTAATAGGTATATATTCAATTTATTAATTTATATACAATTAGACATAATTAAAACAATTAATTCAAATTTGTATTTATTATTTCATTAATACTTCACGTATGTCCTTGAAAAATTGATTAAAGTAATGTAGATTGTGTCTGAAAAGTACAAATAATTAATTTTGAATTTAATTTATATTTAGGATATTTTTTTAATACACTTACATGGTCAATAATATGGAACCTAGAAGTTCATTTGAGACCAGTAAATGATGAATGTAAGATCTAGTATGTTTCTTACAGGTCAAACACGTACATGAATCTTTTATTGGCACAAATTTTTCAAAATGGCTACATTTATTTAAGTCCAAATCACAACAAAAAGATAAATATTATATAATATTATTTTACTAAAAAACTAAAAAAAATCAATACATTACCTTGTATCTGTTAAACATATTTCATATTCATTCAAATTGTCTACATTTTTATCAGTCTTACGATGAGAAACGTCCATAATAATACTATCATTTCTGGAATTTAAAGCAATTGTATATTGAGTATATTAAGTATAATGAATAAATATAATTAAAATCAAATTAAATCAAATCTCACTTATATTTTAAATTGTAATCAAATATTAAGGCTGAATTGCGTTTGGTTGTGATGTATGGTAGAGATGAGTCAAACATGTCCATTCCACTGTTTATAAGATCAATTATTAAACTAGGAGTCCAGGCACCGAATATAATTTTCATTTTATCATATGGGATAAATTCCTTTGTTGAATAAATATTTGTTTATAATATTTGTGATTATGAAAGTACATATAAAATTTAAATACGTAAATAAAGAAGTGTTTTTATCATAAGTACCATTGTTTTATCGATGATGGGTAGAATAAGATCACTAGGGATTTCTTCAACAATGGTTCCATCAGTAAAAAATCCATCAAATAGAAATCCTAAAACATCGTCATGATATTCTGATAAAAATGATGCTGATCGAATTCTTTCTTGTACATTATAACCACCTTGAATTGGAGCAATCACACCACTTTCTTTTAGAACCTAAAACAAATATTAGAATAATTCAATATAAGGATTCAGTGGCGCCCAACCCTATTACTAGGTGTAGTGACCGCTACACCTTGAAAATAAGGGGTGGGTGGGTTTATTAACATAAAATAATTAACTTGAAATATGTTCATCATAGATTATATTGGTTGATACCTCAATATTTACTGATATTATCAATTAAAATATGATAAAATTTATAAAATAGTATAATTTTGAGATTGTGAAGGGGTGCATGGGTAAAGTTATTTCTTGCTACACCTGAAAAATATATCTTGGGCGCTACTGTAAGGATGTACGTTTTTTGAATATAGTTGTTATCCTATTTTCCCATATACAGGGTGGATTCACTAAGCATGTTTATCTCCATTTTCTTTGATAATGAATTTATTCAAATCTTAATTTTTTCAAGTATACTCAAAGACCATATTATGTTTAATAACTAAATTTTGTCATTCCGTTTAACTAGTGAACTGTGTTATTGCAAAAAAGGGATATGATGATTGAAATAATAGTAATTAACGTTATTATATTACGATTTTATAATTTAAAATTTAAAATTAAATTTTTAAAATTTACTAGACTAAATATTATACTCATTTTATATTTTATACAAAACTATTTTTCAGGATATTGTTATTTTTACAGTTAAATTACTCAGGAACTAAACATTCAAATTTTGTTTTGGATATATTAACATGTTCAAAAATATATCTTGCCTAACAATTCATAGCAATATCACCCATATAACCAACCATTCTCATAAAAAAAAAGAAAATTGAAATCACCTCTAGATAATCATTAAATGGTATAAAAAAAAAATATAAGTATCTAAATATAGGGTATTTAAGTAAACTTAAATATTCTAAAAAACCAGAATTTGAATCAATAAATAGCTATCATTTAAAATACATACATAATACACAAAATTATAATTAGGATAAATATTTTTTCAATTAAGGGTCTCAGTGCCAGTTTTTCAAATTTTCCACAATTCTATAAAATTAGAAAATTAAATTTTATATTTTAGTTACCACATCAATTATAAAACTTTTCCACTATTCTAATACCCGATACCTATTTAGGGTTGATAGGGTGTATTATATGGAAAAAAATGACTTTTATTTTTTTATCTAAAAGAAGAAGACTTCCTAAAATTTGTAAAAATAAGCTTTTTATCTTAATTTTTTTAGGCATATTATAAAGTTTGAGAATAAAATATTGAAAAACAGAGATTGATGCAGGCTGTAGAATATTTCAGTCTAGCAATTAAAAAAAAAAAAAAAAAAAAAATGAAATTTAGTTGATTCTACAAGCGGGATCGTTATTCCCGCAGAGTGTATTTTTGAGGACAAAATGGCATCGGCACCGAGCGCCTTAAGTAAAATATGGTAAATAACTAATATCTTTAATTTTAAAAAAAGTGTTAACTGTATCTTTTTAAATTCCACAGTCATAAATTTTCCCAGCAATAAAAATGATAATGATTTTATTCTACTAAATAGATACTGTTGGGAAAAATACTTAATGATAACTAATAATGAAAGTTTAAAAAATTAATATCTAAAACATAAAATTGGTTAAATTCAATAAATACTATACTGAGTGATTCTTTTATCATTGAACACTCGTTATTTCAAAAACGTTCATACTTTTTGAAAAAAAATATTATTGTTAAAACTTGTCAAATTCAACGTAGCTTTGTAAGTATATTGCAATTTTAAGTTATATTTATAATCCTTATAAACTTTAATAGTAGTTCAATCAAATAGTTTTTTTTTAAAGCACTAAAATAGCCATTAATTAAATGTACCTGAAATATAAGAAATCCATTAAAATACAATGTTATCAAAAAATGGGACAATACAATATTTTCATAAACATTTGTTTGTAAAATTGATTAAAAATATTAACATTTTTTAAACACCATCAAAATTAATATAAAATGGGAAAAATAGTTATCTAAATTTAAATTATATATATTATTTAATATAGAAAAAATGTGTTAATGAGAATTTTATACTTTCATAAATCTATAGATATTAGAGAATATACTATATATAAAAACAATTTTGGAATAGTTTTAGCAAAATATAATCTATGTGGTTAAAAAAGTATCACTAAATAACTAACTAATAAAGCTTTATTGTAGATAATTATTTCAACTGTTAAATAATTATACTGAGTAATATATTTGTAAGTAAACAAATTACAATTTCATAGTAATAACATAATATTACTAATATGATTTGTTTTATTATCTCAAAGAGTAAAAAGAAATAATATAAAATATTGTAATAGGTCATTAAACAATATTGTTTTGTAGTTATCTTTCTAAGAAATACATACTTGGTACATTAATTTTTTTTATCATCAAAATGATTAAAAAAAATGCATTTCCATAAAATCAAATTATTTTATTCTGATTAGTTTATTTCACTAGATTTTTCTACAATAAATCATTTTAATAGAAGAATGATTCATTTTTTAATTTGATTGTTTTAATTACATTTTAAAAATGTTTATAAGTTTTGACAAAATTAACAGAATAGAGGCTGGAAACTAATATGGTTTAGTTACAAATGATAGTGTGTGTAATAACAATGCTATGTATGTACCTACAGACAATATATATTAGTAAATTACAGTGAAACCAGTATATAATGGTCAGTCCTGGGACCATAAAAAATGTATGTCTAGATGTCCATTGTACACAAGTTTTAGTATTTTTTTATCCAAACATTGTATAACAAATCTATTTAATAAGAATATTGTATATTTAAAATAATGTAATTGTATTAAATATAACATATAGGTAAGCACATACATACATAATTATGAATACATGCAATTAATGTAATCGTTATAGCCTATAACTTATAGGCGATATAAGAGAGTATGTAATCTGTTGGAATTTGTGCTTTGATGTAAAATCGCACGCACACCATGTTGTTGCATCTGGTGATGCTGTTACAAAGTATGTACAAATGTATGAAATCATATTTAAGTTTGAACTAAAATGTTGTCCAATATTAAGGTATCAGGGAGAAATATTACTGTTCATGTTTGTTATAGTCAGGCGTTAAGTCAGATTTCACAGTATATACTAAAAAATAAATTTGATGATGCTCAGATTACACATGAGTATAAATACAACAACAAAGTACTGAATATTATACTTGAGTACTTAACAATAATACAGGAGTGATAATTATGATTACATTACATTGCACCAGAATTATTTATCTTGGTTTCAGGCGGTGATCAGAATCGGAAATCCGTCTTCCCCCTACTAGATAAACACTATTTTATCTATGATAGGTATAATTCAAAATAATCACAAATTAAATGTAAATTAATGTATTGTATTATTGTATTATTGTATAAATTTAATAAAAATGGCTTTATACAGTTATATAGTATATATATATAATTTTTTAGTTTATTTTGTTATTAATTGAGTAACTTTTAAACAACTTGACCGATTGAGGTAAGAGTTAAAGGTACTAATAGATTTGTTGATAGTCTTGGAGCATATTTATAGTGTACTTTTTAGCTCATAAATTATATAATTTATTATAGTAATGATTCCCTATATGGCTATACATTAAAATGATTTAACATTTTAACTTATCATAGAGAGGGCTTAAGATGGCTCAGAGTGGACTAAGCCCATAGACATGTAATAATGTAATATTATATTATATGTCTATGGCTAAGCCCTCCTCCCCATTTACATTCATGATATCAAACCAAAACAAATGAAAGATTTATCTTGAAACAGGGGAAAAGATAAGCTTCAAATATTGCATTAATTGATATTTGATACCACAGATATAACACACTGCATCTTATACTTAAACCATACACAATGGATGGAGCCATGGCCTTCAAATTATATATAACGATGATGCACAAGTTAGCAACGACCCACATATTTATAACCTATGTTTTATTCTTATCTGTGATACAGATTTCAGCTTATTACCAATACATGTTATAATTTTATTTCATTAAAATATTTATTATTAATTAACAGTTATTTTACATAAATTATGATCTTAGACAGAATGTATAGGGATAAATATTCGACTAGTTCCAACTTCCAAAAGCCTGCGCAGTAGAGGACACTTACCAGGTGACTCATCAGTCGTTGCTATCATGTACATTAAAATATGGGGCCGTGGTTCCATTCATTGATCTAAAGTTTAATATCTATGCGACTATGCTTAATACAGTGTTTGCTGGTTTAATGATATGACTTTGATACTGGAAAAAACTGATAGCATAATTATTGACTAATAAACACTATACTCTGTCTAGTGAGAGAATACTTAAATTTTGTGCAATCCTACGCAACACTCTGCCATCGACACCGGTTCCACTGCACGGGGATGCACAAAAGAACTGATTTTTGTCGTCCTGAGACGTCTTCTCTCACTGGACAGGATATAAATATATAAATCAAAATTAAAAATAATAACAAAATGTATATCAAATTTGTATAATATAATGTTACATGTATTATCATTGGATATTTACTTTAGTTTAGTTTTTGATTTAGTTATAAAAAATATAAATTAAAATAAACATGTCAATTATTTAGTGGATATTATAAAAAAAATAATTTTTGTGTATATATTTTATATTTTTATTTATTGGTTTTCACTAAATTTCACACAACCATTTCAAGTCCATATACCACGGTACTCTCATAATAGTATGAATAAAGTACAAAATTATTATAAGTAGAGACTGTTGTACCCTACTTAAACAGAGACCAGAATTGTATGCATTTTCTTATTCATACTGAGTGTATGCACAACTACGAGGGTTTCAAATCAAGCTGATTTCATAGATGACATTTTATTTTGCATATAATTTGTGTATTTTATTATTTTATACATTTTTTATAAAAAAATAACTTTTTAATTATCCTTTGGTCTTCTTTAAAATAAAAAAGAAACAAAATCTATTAACAAAATCACATAAATCTTTTTGATAATACATATTTATATATATTTTGTGCAACATAGTTTTGTTTTTAACATAGTATTTATAACAACTATTCTACTCAAAGAAAATAAAAGAAAAAATCACATGGTTACTACCACGGTTTATGAAGGACCTTTGATTGAACCCACTGAACTAAATATAATACAAATATAAAATTAATACATATATAATTTGTTGGTTCAGAATCTAAACATTTTTTAATGAATACGAATGTGATTTACTATAAGTTTTTAATTATTATATTACAAAGATATTTTTACTATACAGTCTACTTAAGGTATTTTGTATTAATAATATGTACCATAAATTTAAAAAAAAAATAGTTAAACTTTTTTTTATTTTGGTCCAAATTTGCAACGCATAATATATTATTATTATAAGATTATTACGACATGTTTTGAATTTTTTGTGCATTTAGCAGCATATTTTGCCATTTTGATCATGAATAATTATATTCATATATGGCTTTATATCCTGTCTCTAATTATAAGCCATTGCCTATTAGAAAATAAATCCGATAGTGTGTTAAAAACTCATACATAATATTGATAATCTGCACTATTATAATGTTTAAATGCTTACGTTTTGTCAAAAATGCTTTTTAGTATACATAACATAATATGCAATGACTTTGTATTTAATTTCACAACTTCACAAAAAACCATGCAAATTTAAAAACAGAACCCTATTAACCATACTTATAATGTTATTTATATTCATAAATTGTAAATGAGATATTAGATAGTTAAGTTTCTTTAAGAACATTAATGTATAGAAATAAATAAATACTCACTTCTGATTGATGATGCCGTTCCAGGCAACTCTTAAAGAGTCTATTTGAGATATTAACCGACTTTTCAATGGCTGAAAGTGAACTATTCAAATTAATGTCTGAAATGCTTAGGGTAACATACATAGTGGGTTTGAATACTTCTATGATATCCATATACCTAAATACAATATATATAAATAAAATGTATAACATATTACATAATGTTAGTTTTAATTAGAGTTGATGCAGAAATGTTATAAGTTTAATTTGTGTCTCATTGTAACATAAATTATTTTCTGAAACAATGAACCTTAGAAAAAAAATCAAAATAAGATGCAACTTATTTGCTTACATAATAACATTGATTATAAATACTATAGATTGCTCACTGGCCGGTTTTTCGGTACCACGACATTTTTACTCCCGGTAGATGGCAAGACGACGTGACTACTTACGATTACAATGTTACCCAACCTTACTAAACCAGGCGGGTGCGGGATAGTAAGGTCGGGTAACGTTGTAATTGCTAGTAGTCACGTCACCTCGCCATCTACTGGGAGTAAATATTTCGTGCCAAAGGAAAACCGGCCAGTGAGCAATCTATAGTATTTATAATCAATGGTAATAATATAATACATTTTATGAATTAAATGAATAGCAATAAAGAAACAAACGTAGAACTAGTTTTAACATTTTAAATTAAATTAAAATAGGCAAATTGTTTATTAATAATATAATATACAATTTTTTAAATAACTGTAATTCTATTTACTTTTCATGGTTAATTAATTGATTTCCACTTTTGGTTTTTATAGCAACACAATCTTTTTTGTTGTAACCTTGTGGGGTATCCACCGCATAGTCAATTATTGAGCAGCATGACAAGTATCTCTAAAAAATGGAAATATTTATCTTTGAAATAATACTTAAAACAAAAATCATTCAAATAGAAATTATGCAAGTAAATTATTAGATACTAATGGACAATAAAGTATAAATGTCATTCTGTTTTTTGTGAATGTTATTAAACTTCAATGAAATTAATGAAATTGAATTGTTGTAATATTAAAAATTTAACCTAATGAAATTTAATTAAATACTCTTATGAACTATGAAGTGAGTAGTATTGAAAATATTTTATATTTTTAAATTAATCATAAGGTTATGGTTTTTTAAATTATATTTTTTGTTAATATAAGACGTCCAAAAAAAAAAAAGTATTATTAATTACAATTGTTGATTAGAGTTCATAGTTTTTTTGTAGTACTTTTGTATAACTGTGGGTGGGCCGGTAAAATGTTTAAAGTTGCCGCTCTAAAATATAATTGTCAACCTGGCTCTGCTTTGATCCTAAAAGTCAAATATTGTATTAAAATTACAAACATTTTTCAATTAAGACTTGATTTAATCAAAATTAAAATCATTAATTTTCAATGTCTGAAATTCACAATACATGAATGTAAAATTATAATCACAGTACAGCTACATTCCCTAGATATTTTCATGTGTTTTTACACAAATATTAGTGAGCACTGAGAAGTATTAGTAATGAAATTAATATATACCTCAAGACCAACAAACGAGATAAGACCGCGTTTATACTCTTTCAGTGGTTGGAGGAAACTCAGACATGTTGGTAATGGAAAATTGAACAACGCTTGATCATCAGGTACAATTTTTTCAAACAGTTCTCTTGATATGTATGGCACACTTCCACACTATAAAAATTAAACCAAAAATATATAACATCGCTTTAAGGGATTTGGACTTTTTTACTTTTGTGTAAAACATGAATGCCGGAGTGACAACTTGAGAGTCTGAGTGTTTCAGTGATCCGAGTCTGGGTCCGTTTGTCGGTGGTATGCCAATTGGTCTGTCCGTGACAACTGAAAACCGTGCTTGCTCCATTGATAGGGTTCGAAAGAAAAATACGACGGCAGTACAAGGTTAGGTACCTATCGTACCTATATAATATTTTAATGTTCTTAGTTTCTTAATACAACTGCCAAAGTCGGAACGTCCGAAAAAATTGAATTATTCAAAAATCAAAATTCATACACTTCATCTCAATTTTGCATTTTTGCCTTTTGCAGTTTTGCACTTTTGCACAATGCAGTATGCACATATCGACGCCGGTCAATCATTATTCGTTATCAGATTTTAGTAACGGTCACAGATATATCTGTGGTAACGGTATAGAACATGATAGTACTATCAACATCACGGTCTTATATAAGACCGTGATCAACATCCTGCCGTGCTCGGCGTGCTCCACAGGGTAAGCGGAAAAAATGACCACGGAAAAAAAACCCACGAAAATAAAAGTGTGTTTTATATTATTTTGTTGATTAACTCAAATACCTATCATAATACAATCACATAGTTATTTTATTTTGTGATAAAACAGTACATAATATTCAAACTATAAATATAATAATTAACAAATGTCTTAAGTGATGATATCATCACAATCAAGCCCGGATTAAGGATCAATTGGGCCTCGGGACACCATACACTTAGTGGGCCCCCTTTCAACTTTAACTTCAAAATAATTACATCATTACATATTAACGACTTTATATTATTGTATAATTTTTTACTATACAAAAATAAAAAAATATAAAGGGTGTATCGTGTATCTTCTGTCATTGTATGCTGTTTTTTTTTAACAATTAGGTATAGATCGATGATATGGAATTTCGTTAAAACAAAAAAAGACAATCGTTTCTTTATTTTTAACAGGCAATTTATTTTATAAAATATTCAACATTTTTAAACAAGCAGTTGTAAAAATAATAAAATCGACTTTATTTTTTCAAATAGTAATCACTATGTTTTTTATGGATTCCGCTAAAGCTTTTTTTCTAAACATTTTGACAGTCAAATGATCAATTATGATTAACTAGGTTATTAACTATGATCTTCTAAAGTATGCATTAGTGACGATCAATATTGGTCTTGGTCTTGCGGTCTCGCAAGACTCTTGGCTGCAAGACCAAGGTCCAAGACCAAGATTAGGCTTGCAAGAACAAGACAAGACCATCACTGCAAGACTCTTGCGGTCTTGCAAATTTTTTTTTTTCCGAAAACGCATTACTGTATCTATATTTCATTAACTAATAAATAATAATTCATAACGAAAATAAAAAGAATTTATTTGTATTGTTATGAAATATGACCCGTGTTCGAGGAAATGGCGAATTATTGAAAAAAAGATTAGAAATATAATGGGAATTAATATTACAAAATAACATAGTTCTTCATACTAATTAACAATTACTAAAAAATTATTTTATTTTCAAAAAATCGATAAGTTTCATCTTAGAGATCATAACAAAAAACCTACACAGTACACACAGCTATAACAGGTATTTAGTTTTTTTTATATATTTTGTGAAAATAGCAAGAATCTTGCTCAACACCAAGACCAAAACTAATACTGAGTGTGCAAAATAAAGACCAAGCCCAAGATTTTGAAATTCTTGGCCTTGGTGTTGTTTTGATCATCACTAGTATGCATTAATACTTTTAACTGAAATACCTAATTTACAAAAGCTAAATAATTTTTTCTTATAACTTCCTTTTATATACTTTAAAATAAAACATAATTGGGTGTATTGTGATTCCATTCCCCTTGTATAAAACCATTGTAATATAAGATTAAACTCAAACAAATAATAAACACTCATATTATTTTCCAAATTTATATTTATATTATATTAATATAATTATATAATTTCCCAAAGTGCCTTCGCTGGTTGGTTCTTCCCACAAGATACTATATATATAATAATTTAAAAAAAAAACATAATTTTTGCTTATTGTACTATTTTAGATTCTGAGCGGAGCGATGAATGTATTGGTTTTACAATGATGTATGTTTTTATATTTTTATATTTTTATATTTTAGATTCTGAGCGGAGCGATGAATGTATTGGTTTTACAATGATGTATGTTTTTATATTTTAGATTCTGAGCGGAGCGATGAATGTATTGGTTTTACAATGATGTATGTTTTTTTTTATATTTTTATTTATATTTTTGTGTCTGTCATCACGTTTTAGGACAGTAAAAGTGCTTGGATTTTCTTCATCAGTAGCTTTTCTGGTAGGAAAGTGAATCTATTTGGTACTTTGGGGGGTCAAAAGTATAAATTTCCCAGTAGTTTTCACAAGCGCCGGGAAAAACAACATAAAAATTAAGGAAAAACGGGAATTTTTACGCAAAATTGGTTTTCCAAAAAATCGATTTTGATTATTGGTGTAACTCTAAAACAAATGAACGTATATACATGAAATTTTCACTGGTTGTTAATATTTGCATTTTCTATACACGATAACATTTTCAAAATATTTTGATTTATTTTGAACTGTTTAGGGACATTTTCATTTTCCATTTTTTTTTAGTTTTTTTTCTAAAAATATCAATAACATTTTATTTGTTGGTTGCGAAGGCTTGAAAATTTAATAGAAGGCTCCTAATATGTTGTTTCAAAGGCAGATGAAAAATATTAAAAATCCTTAGTCACAATTTTTTTTTATAAGCATTTAAAGTTCAAAAATTGACAAAATATGGAAAAATCACGAAAATTAGCAAATTATTTTGAGTTAAGAATTCGTAAAAATTTTTCTTTTTAAATCTAAGATTTGAAAATGAAACACAAGATTCCTTATAAGATTATCTACCTTTATCAATAAAAAAATCTCTACCGGACAGTCAAATTAAATTTTTATGAGCGTTTGAAATTCAAATTTTTACAACATTGGATTTTCACTCGATTTCTCATGTAGCGATTTCCTTATTTTGTTGTAATTCAAAAACGAATAACTGTAGATACATGAAAATTTCACTGAATGTTTATATTAGCATTTCCTATACACCATACAATTTTGAAAATATTTTGACTCTTTTTGAGCTGTTTACGGACATTTTCAGTTTTCAATTTTTTTTAGTTTTTTTTTTTATAATTGTCAATAAAATTTTATTTGGTGGGCCAAAAAGCCTGAAAATTTAATACAAGCTTTCTTATATATTGTTACAATATCAGTTGAAAAATTTTAAAAATACATAGGCACGATTTTTTTTTTATAAGCATTTAAAGTTGGAATTTTGACAAAATTTTTCAAAATCTCGAAAATTATCAATCGTTGGAATTAAAAAATTATAAAATGTTCAGTTTTTATAACTAAGAGTTGAAAATTTAAAACAAAGATTCTCTTAAATAATTCATACTGTAACCAAAAAATCTAAAAAATATATAAACACACTTATTTTTTACAGACATTTTAATTTCAAATTTACACAAAATTTCATATTTAAACCAAGAATTACGATTTTAGTTATTTTGTTGTGATTGTATAATTTTATTCGTGGGTACTTGAAATTTCTAAAGTAATCTACTATATATATCTATGATAGTATCAGGGTTTGTTGTTGGTGTATAACGCGTTATAAGTACCTAATGGATATTGTGATATGATTAATTTGGAATTCATTATAGGTCAATTTTTTTTAATACCATAGATATGTATATAATATGTCTTATACCTAGAAGGACATACCGTCACCGCTCAGAATCGTTTTCTTATACAATGATATTATATCATTGAATTCAAATTTAATACTATCCATTATACAGTGACCTACTTGTAACCTACTGTACAGCAGAGCGACACCCACTTGCCCACCTTTTTATATTTTTATTTATATTTTTATTTATATTTTTATTTATATTTTTGTGTCTGTCATCACGTTTTGGGACAGTAAAAGTGCTTCGATTTTCTTCAATAGTACCTTTTCTGATAGGAAAGTGAATCTAGTTGGTACTTTGGGGGGTCAAAAGTAAACATTTTCCAGTAGTTTTCACAAGCGCCGGGAAAAAACAACATAAAAATTAAGGAAAAACGGGAATTTTTACGCAAAATCGATTTTCCAAAAAATCGAATTTGTTTATTGGTGTAACTTTAAAACAAATGACCGTAGATACATGAAATTTTCACTGGTTGTTTATATTTGCATTTTCTATACACGATAACATTTTCAAAATATTTTGATTTATTTTGAACTGTTTAGGGACATTTTCATTTTTCATTTTTTTTTAGTTTTTTTTCTAGAAATATCAATAAAATTTTATTTGTTGGTTGCGAAAGCTTGAAAATTTAATAGAAGGCTCCTAATATGTTGTTTCAAAGGCAGATGAAAAATATTAAAAATCCTTAGTCACAATTTTTTTTTATAAGCATTTAAAGTTCAAAAATTGACAAAATATGGAAAAATCACGAAAATTAGCAAATTATTTTGAGTTAAGAATTCGTAAAAATTTTTCTTTTTAAATCTAAGATTTGAAAATGAAACACAAGATTCTTTATAAGATTATCTACCTTTATCAATAAAAAAATCTCTACCGGACAGTCAAATTAAATTTTTATGAGCGTTTGAAATTCAAATTTCTACAACATTGGATTTTCACTCGATTTCTCATGTAGCGATTTCCTTATTTTGTTGTAATTCAAAAACGAATAACTGTAGATACATGAAAATTTCACTGAATGTTTATATTAGCATTTCCTATACACCATACAATTTTGAAAATATTTTGACTCTTTTTGAGCTGTTTATGAACATTTACAGCTTTCAATTTTTTTTAGTTTTTTTTTCTATAAATATCAATAAAGTTTTATCTGTTGGGCCAAAAAGTGTAAAAATTTAATACAAGGCTCCTGATATATTGTTACAATATCAGTTGAAAAATATTAAAAATACATAGGCACGATTTTTTTTTTATAAGCATTTAAAGTTGGAATTTTGACAAAATTTATCAAAATCTCGAAAATTATCAATCGTTGGAATTAAAAAATTATAAAATGTTCAGTTTTTATAACTAAGAGTTGAAAATTTAAAACAAAGAT